ATAATACTAACATGATTGAGAAGCAATTTCTCGGCAGTCTTACGAAGCTTGGACTGGGCGTTCTCCCGCTGTCTTCTTCGAGCGATCACTGTGCGGCGCTTGAGGGCTGGGGTTCCGCCATCGAATACAAAGACGGGCTTGGTCCGCAGGTACAGTAGCTTGCAAATTCGACGAAAGAAGCCGAGTACATGCGCGTTGCGAACCATCTCTCCCTTCTCGTCCCGCATTGCCTTCATAAACTGCACCATCCATATGCTCGCATCTGCCCAGTGAAACAGACGAAATAGATTAGCAAGGTGATTTTCTCATATCGAAAATAGGGCTAGGGTTCGGAGTATGGGTGGGGGTACCGATGGCGAGTCTTCTTCCGGCTAGGGTTTCGACGGACACGCGGCGGCCGACGGGGGCCAGTAGTTCCCATAGACCGTGGACTCCCATTCTGTGTATTGCTTGCTGAGGACGCTTCTGCTGACAGACAGTTCTGTCATGGCCGCGCGCGAGGAAAGTAAAATGAGAGAGGCTGCGTGAGTCGGTGGGAGCAAAATGCACGAACCGACGTCGTATATAAGCAGTACACAAGTTGAATAAACAAAATTCCGTGCCGAACTGTAAAATATTTTCTAATAAGACAAACTAGCTAGGGAGAGATTTTTTAAAAAATAAATATAAGTTTAGTATTTTTAGATCCAATAAATTTTTATTTTAAATTTTCTTCTCAGTAATTAAATAATATCTTAACTTTATTTCATAACTTTCATCTGTAATTATATTTTAATTATTATTTTTTTAGTGAATAATTAAATATTTTCTATATATATAAAGCAAAAGGCAGAAAATGGTAAAACATTCAAAATACCAAAAAATGTCCTTGGTTAATCTAAATATTAAGAATTAAAATTATTAATTAAATGAGGATAATATAGTAAATTCACACCTTTTCATATTTTAAAAATTAAAATTAAAAGAAAAATCAGATAATGAATCCTATTTTTAGATGAAAAACATGAATCCTATTTTTATGTAACACAACTACCCATTATCTTTTTTAATTCTAAAATAAATAAATTTATTTTTCTTTTTAAAAGCCTCTCATTTATTTTTTTTTATATTTTAAAGCCTATCGCAGGTAGAGGTGTCAAACGGGACGGGCCGGCCCAGCACGGCATGAGCCCACCCCGTTTAAATGAGGCACGGCAAGGCACAAGCAAGAATATTAATGGGCCGTGCTCGGCACGGCACGAAAATTTGGGCCGGGCCGGGATAAAAAAATAGGTCCAATGGACCGGGACTTGGCCCAAGCCCGCTTCAATCACGGCCCACA